AATAGCTTACGTTAAGAACAATAACAAAAATATTTTTTTAATATTTACTTTTGTTTTGCAATGGTAACAAAATTTTTGTTATTTCCCTTAAAAAGAGGGGGAAAGGGCCAGCGCTCTCCTTGGTGAACATAACTTTATAATCCAAAGTCTATGTTATAATCTTATTAATTTCACTTGTGCGCGTGAAGTGTGGTAAAATTTAGCGTGATAAAAGTATCGAAAAGATCACTAAGAAAATTAAAATTTCGACGTTTTCTTAAAGAAACATTTAAGGTCTATTCTATAAACGAAGCAGACTTGTTGTTTAAAAAGTGAGTTAACTTTTTTGTTATAATAAAAAAATTGTTTTAATGCCTTGCAATTATTAAAAAAAACTACCCAGCAGTAGGTTGAAAATGTAAACATTGTTAAAAATTAAATTTACATACATTTTATTAATATTAAAAAAAAAGTTTTATTTTTAACGAAAAGGGATTTGTAAAATTTACAAAATTTCTATGAATACCATTAGGGTTTCATTAATACTACTGTAGTATTACTACAAAACGTTTTTGTAAACGGTATAGAACTGTTTTTTGGACAAATAATAATAACTATATTTATCAATGCCTTTCTGCATCTGAAAGAGTGTTATTTTTATAAACATAACGTACATTTACTTATAATTAATGCAAATTCTGTTACTGAAAGCAACGTTTGTAGATAAATAATTTTTATAAAAATGATCTTTTTGCCGTAACAAAAGCAATTGTTGGACGAATAGGGATCTTTACTTTATTAAGACAAACTACTTTTTTTGTTATATTTATTAAAAAAAATTCTGAGTGTACTTTTTAACTTATAAGTAATATTACTTACTAGTTAAATATTTGTTTTATTTATAGTCAATTTAAACTCTTGAAATAACCTTAATAGGTAAATTTAGGTGAGTTAAATGTTTGGTAACCATTTCCAAAACAGTTTTCTCTGTGTACACATTTTTTGTCCATAAAACATAAAATATAAAAATAATAAAACCAAACTATTAATCCTAGTGTTTGCTTTCAATTAAGTTTTATTAGGTTTGTATAGTTTGCCAGTGCGAAAAATATGTGGGCAGTGGATTAACCGCTTTGTACATATTGAAAAATAAATGCTTCAATAAAATCTTCCAGGTCAATATTAGCTTTATAGATAGTATCTATTGGATACAGCGAAATGAAATGAATCACGGTTTTAACCTCAAATTGTTGACTTTGGTTTTATTTTCAAACGTAAAGCCTGAATTATAGATTGCCTTCCTTCCTTCCTTCCTCCCGTAGAAGATGAACACGTAATTGTCACCATTAACATTTCCCGTGTAGGAATTTTTAATACTTTGTGATAATATTTTGCAATTATAGTAATAAAAAAATCAAAGAATAAAATATTTTCTTAACAAAATCATATTTTGAAGTTATTTTAATATTTTATTATGTATCAATAATTGTTAAGTTTAATTAAAATTAATAACAAGCAACGTTAATGGTGACAATTACGTCAAAAATGTTTATTTAAATCCTAGTGCCAGTTATAGATTTCCGTACCGTAAGGACGGCATTCCTTCCTCCCGTAGAAATTTTTAAGTTTTATCTTTCACCGTAAAGGTCTTTGACATGACCAATCACAGTACTTGTTATGGACATGCGCTGTAGGGTGACAGCGCTTAGGCTCAAAATGTTTAAAATACATGATTGTTTAGTATTATTTAAGATAGGTGTTCAGTTTATTAAATAATTTGTGTCTCTAAATAGGATATTTAGATATTGTTTATGATCAATGTCTTTCATTTTTAGAAACGTTGCTTTGTAAAACCCCGTAGTTTCCCGGTCTTGGTAAAGTGGGCGAGTCTTCCAACGTCTTATTCGATGTTTTTTTTTTCATTATACTGCCCTACTATGGAAAAAGGCAGTAACTACAAATGCGTTTTCTTGTGCTATGATAAAGCTATGGACATTTTGTATCTTAATTCAACAAAGAAATGCAGTAAACTATCTTTTAAGTTAAATAAATCAGTTAAATACCTACTGCTTTTTATAAAAATGTAGTTTATGCTAAGTTCCCACAAATTTCTTGTTTAGCAGTTACTGCCTTTCTCCATAGTTGGGCAGTATACAACAAGCTGCCTGGGCAATTAAAATTGTGATTACTGCACTAATAAATAAATGTTTATCTTTCATATTTACACAAAATGGGTAAAACGCAGAATATAAACAAAAACAAATGTTAACCATTTTAGGTGTCATCGCGCATGGTTACGGAATTTTACACGGAAATCTATAAATTGACTTTTTACAAGACGCACAAATCGTACGGGCACGACTACGGGAGGAAGGCAATCTATAATTCAGGCTTAAGGGTTTGCCTCTCATGAAAACTTCTTCTACATTTAATAAAGGAAAATATGCGTTATCATGGAGGGTTCTTTTTGGGTCCTTGTCGCTATAATAACACCGTTAAATAAGGCGATTATATTATTATTTGTTGTCAGATTTTCACGCACAATTACGCATTTCGGCCGATGACTTAAACTTCCTTTTTTCTCCTCGTTTCCCATTTTCGCCCTTAAAGGATCTTTGAGTTTTATGTTCCGGCATTAATTAAAACTTCTCGAAAATGCCTCGCAACCTTTTAAGACCGATAATTTTTCAAAGGCTGCGATAAATTAAATTAAACACATAAAAACGAGGACGAGAACATTTTTCAAGGAAATTTTTCTCGCCCGTTATACGGAATTATGTTTTTAGTTTGATGCGGAACTTTTGATAATCAGCTGTCAAACGCGTGTGTTACAAACGAGTGTTTTTGAGAATAAAGCCGGAGAATGTAAGAAAAACCGTGGCACGATTTGTTGTGTTGTTGGGTGTATTTCGAGAGGAAATCGTGGGTTGAGTTTTTACCGGTTTTCCAATAACAGTGCACTGTTAATCTGAATGAAGAAATAAATTGCATATATGCATACAGTTTCTGTAAATATAAATTGTACCTATTAGATACAATAAATACACATTTTAGTAGTGATTAACGTGAAAAGTGTAAACATTTCAATTCAGTAAAAATCGTCAAACAAATAAGTCGTCTAAATTTAAACAGCATTTAGCATTATTAAAAGCGTTGATTAAGAATTCTTTAAAGTCTCCACTCAACGGTAAAATACCATTATATTATGTATTATATATAATATGTTGCCATGAATTCGTAGGTATATTTTGTTGTTTAAAATTCAGTTGTAAGCGTTTTTTAGAGAACTCAAATATAAAAATGGTTGATTTTAAGGTTATGTTTGTGCAAAAATTATTTTTACTAATTTCTTAAAAATGTCCAAACTTAAATATAAATTATATTAGGTAAAGTTATCATTAGTTAATTCTGCACCAACAAATGTACTTACCGAATTGGATCCTTTGTCAAAACATGAAAATGCAACGATTTAGTTCTTGAATTTTATTTACAATTAAAACACAATAATTAACCATGATCCCTTAGATAAAATTACACACACTAACATAACTATATAAGCATTTAAGCGTTGAGTTTCTTAATCAATGATATAAAGAATAATCAATCGAAATCCAGTTTTTTCGTTTTTCCCTTGCAACGTAGAACACAAATAACGTGCGCGATTTAGCTGTGCAATTGAACAAAATTTGTCGAGTAAGACTTTTTTTTGTGAAAAATCTACCTATTTATTTAAAAATTATGTACAGTTCGTATGCTTTAAATTTATTTTTGACAATTCTTAAATTCACGCAATGGTTTTGAAGTCCACCAGGTGGCGCGCGCGTTGATAAAACCCGATACTTCTTTAGCGTATAACTGAAAAAATATATAGGTAAAACAAAGTCGCGGACCATGGTATACCATGAATATATAAATGTATTTTTTCAGGAGTCCAATCATACAATGTAATACATTGAATGTATATCATTATTTTATTAACGTATTAAAAATATAATATTTTTTTGAATAAGGTACATTTACAGAAATACATACGAGGTGTGTTCAGAAAATAACGGAATTGTTAAATTTCGCGGGTTCGGAGGGTCCGGTTGTCATAAAATTTTCTTTATTATGTTGGTATACATGCCCCCGAAGTATGATAAAAACTTTAGCTGTTTTCATTGTTTACTTTGTCTGTGGCAGGTTAGACGTGTTTTATGAGCTTGGCGATTTTTCGTTCGTTAAAAGAAATGGATCAAAGAATTTGTATCCAATTGCTTAAAAAATGAAATAAATTCTGTGAAATGTTAATTAACAAAGGCCTATAGTGAGTCTGCTATAAGTAAAACAAGAGTTTACAAGTGGTATAAGAGGTTCCAAGATGGCCGAGAAGACGTTGAAGATGACGAAGCACATTAACAACCGATAAAAACATGGAAAAAGTGGAAGAAATGGTTATAACCCATCAGAGAAGTCGCTGATGATGTTGGTATATCGATTGGCTCATCCCATGAAATTTTTTCGAATGTTTTGGGTATGAAACGCGTGGCAGCAAAATTTGTTCCAAAATTGTTAAATTTGGAACAAAATTTTTGGCCAAAAACAATACTGTAATGATGCCCCAGCCTCCATACTCGCCAGACATGCCCCTGCCTGACGTTTTCCTATTCCCAAAAATAAAGAGAACCTTAAAGGGCCGTCGTTTTGCAAGCATAGATGACACTAAAAGCGCATCGCTGAAAGAACTAAAGGCTATCCCAAAGATCGAGTTTTAGAAGTGTTTCGAGTATTGGAAGAAGAGCTGGCACATGTGCATAACATCCAATGGAGACTATTTTGAAGGCGACATCATTAATGTAGACGAATAAATAAATATTTGTTTCAAAAAACGAAAATTCCAGATATTTTCTGAACACACCTCGTATATATGAGAAAAAATTAACTTTACATACATCAATGATATATTCAAATTAGCATGAAACTTTGCACTAACAATTTATATGAACCGCTTATTGAAATTCCAAAATCAACGTAGGTAGTGTAGTATTTGCTTTGAGCAAGTGGTCTGATTGAAATTGAAAACAGTAGTAGGTAAAGCGAATCAGGGAAGCGAATATTCGCGTATATTTCTGGCAATACTGCCCGCTCCGGCAATTTCTTTGATGATAAGAGCAAATATCGTTTGTGGTGGTGAACCCAGAAATGTATTTAACTCCTTTATGTATACGTAATATATTGCCGAGATATCAAAGAAAATGCGGTTGGTTAAAAAGAACGTAAATTTATTAGGGAACATTTTAAAATAACTGTAAAAATTAATTTTTCTCCGGAAACAATAATTTCTGCAAAACCAATGTCAACTCAATCCTGGCGGTCATCTTCTTTTCTTCATCCAACTTTTTGAATAGCGGCAACATGGATAGTAAAAACATTTTATCAGGATCATCCACATCATTCGTACTTGTGTCTTCAGTTGGTGCTCCAAGTATGTCCACAAATTCCGATTTGTTCAAATTGCCAGGAACATTCTTAACGATATAATTTTGTATGAATTCTTTTTCGAAAGTGACGTTTTCCTCCTCTTTTATGAAATTTCCCACCGTGTCTTCGTCCGGGGAATCTTCATTTTCTTCAGTCTCGTTGGTGTGCCGCGAACTCCCTTCTTCAGGGTCTGCTATTATCATCCGCCGATATCGCCTAAAAAATTAAACGTATGAAATGCTGTTTGTACTCGTTATCAAATAGTTTGTGAGACCTGAACTTTTTATCAAAACTATTATAACCAAGTCTTCAAATCCGATCCTGTTAGCTGTTACACGGTGGTCAAAACTAAAGTATAGGACGAACAAAAATGCCAACCAAAACTGATGGCATAATCTGATTATAGACTCTTTTAATGACACAAAAATGCATTTATCAAAATCCCAGCTGATCCTTTATTAAAGTTTTGCATATTTCTTAGTATTTTAAAATTGTTTATGCCATTTCGATAAAATACTCTAGTACCATTATCAAATGTTTTTAAAAATTTGGCAGATACATGACCGAAATATGGATAAATTACATTATAAATTCAAAATAATGTAAAATACGGTTTGCAATATCTTATTTATTGTTTTAAGGTACCTAATACAAAACTAATAAATAACTAAAGATTCTTTGAAGCAAAATCGATTACTGCTTGCCTTAAATTTTCAGTAAAACTTTTTCTTGGGTTTTACATGGAATTGTTTTTAACATGGAAACAGTATTTTTAAATTCTCCAGTCTCTGTACAAACATGCTTCTTACATCTAGCGATATCCCCTAGAAAGGAAGAGCATATCAAAACTTTAGTTCGTTCGTCCGTCCTCTTCCCTTAATAATTTTTTATGCCCTTTATATCTTGCCATTTTGCAGATAAAGCACATACATTCTTGGCTGCCGCGAAATTCTCTAGCAATTTCTAAATTTTGAAAATTTGGCAATTGTGGCTATGCACAAATACCGTTTTTACCATATTGAAGTAGGTAATTTTGAATCACTTAAGTTAAAATGTTCGTTTGAAAAAGTCAGTAATTTTTATATTTTCTCAGAAACCCTAAACTCTGAATTTTTCGATTACCAAAAACAATTTTGTTTCCACAGCCAGCACATACCTTCTTTCGATTTTCTTCATGGCTTAACTTAAATTTCGGTTTAATTTTCATTTTAAAATACTATTTTTAACTTTATAAAGTATACATTAAATAAACAACTAAAGCAAAATGCCACTTGCGTTATAACGTATAGCAATTTTTTTCATAACCACCTTAATTATTTTTTTACAAAATTTGCAAGTTGTAATTATTTCATAAACAAACTTAGTATTTTTTGTTATAAAAAATATTTAAATATTTCGGTTTTTTTTGTTATGTTTTGTTTTGAGTGGTAAAAAATAATAGGTGACTCAATAAATTAATACTGGGGAGTAAAGTAATTTAAATGATGCAAAGTTTATTATTTTGCTTAATTTTATTAAAATTGTACAGGTAGTTTTAGTACAATAATTGCAAAATAATATATGAAAATAGAAAAACAAAAAAGTTTGCAAAACTTTAAAATAGGATCAGCTGGGATTTTGATAAATACATGGTAGTGTTACCAAAAGGGTCTATAATCAAAATATGCTATCGGTTTTGGTTGACATTTTTGTTCGTCCTATACTTAAGTTTTGACCACCGTGGTTAGCTTAGCTTGCTTAGTGAAGTCAAGATTTTTTTTTCAACTACTTGAACAACTTGAACTGTTTCTTTTTACACCTTAATTTATACTCGTTTTTTTTAACCTTTACTTAAAACAATTAAGTCTGGAGATCGAGGAGGCCATTGAGCTAGCGTTAAGTCCGGATATGAAGATTGCATCTGGTAAGATAGACATCACAGATCATCTAAAATGGGTTTGTCCCAAACACCCTGTATTTACCTTTTAATTCCTGCTAAAAACTTTAAATTTTCCGCATGAATATATGTTTTATGATATGGTCCATCTTTTCGTCTGCTATACTTTGTGTATGTGTCTTTAAGGTTTTTCCATCTTTTTTGTAGCATATTTACTAAAATATAAAAAACATTTTTAATGTCTTCGAAATTCATCTAAATATTTTAAGGGGTAATTTTACAACACAAAATACGAAAAATGATATCGGGTTAATACACTGTTCTAAAAATCAGATTTATTAACATGAGTTTGTATAAATATATAAAAAGGATAGTTTGTTTGTTTAAACTTTATTTACGTTTAATTAAAAATAAGAATATTTGAATTTTTGATGATAGTTTTATGAATATATAGAGTCAATTCAAATGAAAACACCAAAAATGAATTTAAAAGTGCGCTGCATGATTTTTTATTTTAATGAAAAAAATTGAGAATGATCTTTTAGGTATCATATATGAAAAACCGTTGCCGTTTTAATTTTAAGTTGCTTTATTTTTAATCGGCACCCTTTAGAAACCTGAAATCGTGTCATTTTCTTACTCTCTTATAAGAGGCTAAAACTCTTTTCTGTGGCAATTATTGAAATGATTGTAATTTTATTTTACTGCCTAGTAAGTAAGTTTTCAAAATTAATTATTATTATCTAATTAGTTCATCTCATAAAAGAATGGTAAACCACTAAAGATAATTTGCCAATTTAAAATAAAGTTACACCGATAAAATAGTTTGGTCATTACAAACATGGGTCTTAGTTTCTATATTATGTATTTGCCACAACTTACGCATATTGGTTAGAAATAAGAACATTTTTCTGTGACAATATTGGTCAATTAGTTGTTACTTTGCCATTAATTTAAATGAAATTAAGTTGTAAACAACTTATCATATTAAATATAAGATTATTAAATATATCATTTTGACACAAAGAAATCAGTTTTTACCAAATATTTATTTGTTTAAAATATTTTTTGGTAGGGATGCTAGCAAACGCAAGGCAGCCATTGTGAACCAAAGAACTTCTTTGTTACGAACCAGTAAACAAGTGTATGAAATACATGCAGTACATAATTTTACGCAGATAAAAATGCAGTGTGTGTTGAGTGAACTATTAATGGTGAGTACTTATTTATTTAAATGTCACTTGTCCATATAATTTTAAGAAAAGTAGGAAGGCCCCCTGTATCTATATAAAAATTGGCAAAAAGGACAAAATATCTTGTGTAACCATCGAAAAATATTGCCACAATTTTTATTAACTATAACTAATCGTGTAATTAATTATCCCATTTATAATAAAATGATATTTAAGTAAATTTCATTCAATTACAGAAGGACATAAAACTATTATTCTTTTTAATCAGGACTAATTTATTGACTTTTGTTACCTTTTTATATTTTATGTATAGGTTGGTACATGATTACTGAAGTATGAGATAACTTTTTGAATATTTTTTGTTTAAAATGAGATAGCTAGTTAAGATTTTGTTTTGTATTCTTGTTTTATTTTTTTGGTTAAAAATATTTTTATATGTATACATAATATTATTATACTCTATATTATACTCTGTATTTTGTTATAAATATTATAAAATAAAATTGTTTTATTGAATTTATTTAGATTTTCAATAACCAGCCTCTCCTGCATTTAAATAATTTTATTGCAAATAAAGGGCTTATTCCTGACAATAAAATTTTCGTTTTGGGCAAATTAATTCTGTCGTGATAACAAGTTGCTTTTTTGTGACGAAATTATTGTTGTGTTGCAATAAAGCACATGCGTTTATCCCAAATAGGTGCATGTTTAATACAAAGAAATGAAAAATTTATTAGAAATAAATATTTAGTTGCAAGAACATAATCTGGTATTTGTAAAGAAATGTATGCATTTACGTCAAATTAATATAAGTTTGTTCGAAACCAACTTTACCAAACTAAGTAATTACTTGCCTTAAGTCTATATTAGTTGCGCAATATACAACTACAGGATTAGTTTACCTAAAATCAATTTCGTTTCTCTCAAACAAATTGTTTTTTCGGTGTATGTGGTTATAACACATTTTTACCCCATGTTCTGATTTCATATATCTATGGATGGAATTCGGCGATACCCTGTATATCCATTTGAAATTAAAACCGTTATATGTAGAACATAAATTTTCATAAAACATTTTAAGCGAGTTATTTCATAATTCTACACATAAAATTCGAGGCTAATTATTCAGAATTTCGCAGTGAAATAAATCAAATGAATGAAGCAGTAATTTAGAAATACGCGAATTTTGTTGGAGATAAATTAGTCCCTATTTGATTATCGCATCGAAAGACCTAATGAACATATAATTGGTAATTTGTTTTATACCTGTACTGAAGTACTGATTGTGCCTATTATTACATAATTTATCATTATACAAAAAATATTAATTAATGTTGTTCATGAAAAATATTTAGAATCCGGGTTAGCAGAAAAATTTGGTTTAATTGTATTTACAGTGTGATCTTTAAGAGAGTAAATTGGTTTTCAGAACCTTTTAAATTTAAGGGGGAAACAACATAGAAGGATTGACGTTTTTAATTATTTCTTTGTATTTACTCGCCATGCTTCACAAACATATTTACAACGTCTATAGACATTTTAATTAAACTCGATTAGGAAAAAATCAATATAATGTACAGAAAAATGGTGTTTTAACAAAAAATCATTATTTATTTTTTTAAACAATGAGTATCATAAAATAACTAAATTAATCCTTAAGGTTTTCAGATTTATTGTGCTGTCTAATTTAAACGTAATAAATTTTAAATGAGTTTTCCTCAATTTTTTGCTTATTTGAATGTGAAATTGGGTTAAATTGCTCAAAATAAATGATCCAATCAGTTATCTAGATGGCAAACATAAATTTAGTTCTGCAAGCTTTTTAAGATGCCTTTGATTTAACTCATTTGAGTTTCTATATTTATAAGTTTTAAAGTATGTTTTGAATACAAATGTTTTAATCAAAAATAAATAAAGAAATAAATAAATATAATGTATAAATATCATAATTTGGTTAACAAGTATAAATCACTAAAAAACATAAAAAAACTTAATTTTTGCAATAAAACTTATGACCGCATGTTTTTTATGCGATTTTATAAAAAAAATTATAAAAACAGAGAAAATCAGTAAACAGTAAGAAGTAAAAGTTTTTTCTTACTTTTTTACCCTTGTAAGGTACTAAATTAGTTTTAAACGTGAGCCCCGATCACTTCTTAAAAAAAATCAGAAAAAATCCTAAAAAAAGTGGAAAAAACAAGGTTTTTCCTTACTTTTTGACTCTTCTGAAGGTACTCCCAAAGTTTCAGATTTTTCACTAAATTTTTAACCTGAGTCACACTCAGAAAAATGTTCATGCACTGATAATGAAACTAATTTTGTAAGCGATTAATAAAATATTATTATTTATCTTAAATTTAAAATTGTAATGGCTATATAAAAATGTACCACCTAAGGTACCTTTTTTATTAAATGTTCAGTGTCTTAATGGGACAAAAACCTACGATTTGTCAAAGTAATGAGATTATTTTTATTTGCAGAATAAACTTTTTTTACCATTAATAAAATTCTCATTTACTATAATAAAGCAGTTGTTGAGCTTTTATAAAAAAAAATTTCATCCAACAAAGTAATAGTGGTTACCATATTGTTATGGCAATAAGAAATATTTTATGTTTATATTAAATCTTTGTCGAACTTAAAATGTTTTTGTTATATCTATAGTTAAGTAATGCGCAGTTGTTATAGTAAAATTTGTTCATTTTACTATGGCATATTTGTCTTTTTTAAATTACTATCGTTGTAATTCAAATTAATTTTATTTCTTTTTTAATAGCTTACGTTAAGAACAATAACAAAAATATTTTATAGCTATAAAAAGACTGTTTTAATATTTACTATTGTTTTGCTATAATAACAAAATTTTTGTTGTTTCCCTTAAAAAGAGAAGGAAAGGGCCAGCGCTCTCCTTGATAAACATAACTTTATAATCCCGTCTGTATTACAATCTTCACTTGTGCGAGTGAAGTGTGGTAAAATCTAGCATGATAAAAATATCACTAAGAAAATTAAAATTTCGACGTTTTCTAAAAGAAATTCTACAGGGTGTCCCATAATTAGCGTGCAACACTTTAACAGCAGATTCTACGTACAAAAATAAGAAATAAGTTCCTATAAACATAGGCCGAGAAATGCTTTCTAAGGGAACTACAGCCCCTAAATGAGAAGCTAAATAAGAAGCCCCTGAAGATGGTTTTTATTTAATATATCCAAAACCCGAGCAAAACCGTTTAAGGTAAAAAAGTAAAATTTTGGGAATTAATCAAACTTTTTATGGCCAATAAGATGTAATAATAACAATTCAAAATTTCCATGAGGGGTGGGTCAGATAGATACGGAATAGGGGTTAAAACCACCCTAATTTTTTGTACGAGTCTCGTGCTAGGATTTGATGTCAGATTATGAAATTTCGGAATTTTACACACAAAAAAGGTCCTCTGGTTAAACTTTGATATTGTCCACTGTTTTCGCTTAAAATCCATTTAAAAATTATCTTACATAGCATAAAAGATCATAATGAATTCACAAGAGAGAATAATTCAGAGTAGGCCATGGAACACAGCTGCCATCTTTAGGAAAAAATATTTAAGACAGGTGACAGTTTCATGTAATATGTGACAGGGTGTTGAAAAATTGTCCATGGCCATGTTTAAAAATTGTCCATGGCCTACGCTGAATCTTTTTCTCAAGTTGTGATTTCATTATGAATTTTTAAATCGATTTTAAGCGAAAACGGTGCATGCTATCGAAGTTCATCAAGAGGACCTTTTTTGTGTGTAAAACACTGAAATTTTATGATCTGATATCAAATCATAGCACAAGATACGTACAAAAAAGTTAGGGTAGTTTTACCCCCACTCCCTTTCTATCTGACCCACCCCTTATGAAAATTTTAAATTTATTATTAGTCCAACTTATTGGCTATAAAAAGTTTGATTATATCCCAAAATTTCACTTTTCTATCCTACTATTAAATAAAAACCATCTTCAGGGGCTCCTCTTTCGGGGGCTGTAGCTCCCTTGGAAATCATTTCTCGACCTATTTTTATAGGAACTATTTTTCTTATTTTTGTACGTAGAATCTGCTGTTAAAGTATTGCACGCTAATTATGGGACAGGGTGTCGTATAAACGAAGCATAACCAGTCTTGTTGTTTAAAATGTGAGTTCATATTTTTTTTATTTTGTACATCATATAGGTAATATGAGTTAATTTTATTGTTATAATAAATAATTTGTTTTAATGCCTTGCAATTATTTAAAAAAAAACTACCCAACAGTAAGTTGAAAATTGTTACAATGAAAATTAGTATATAGGTAATATGAGTTAATTTTATTGTTATGAGTTAATTTTATTGTTATAATAAATAATTTGTTTTAATGCCTTGCAATTATTTAAAAAAAAACTACCCAACAGTAAGTTGAAAATTGTTACAATGAAAATTAGTTTATTGAATTAACAATTAATTTGTTGTTAAAATTACATAAATTTTATTAATATTATAAAAAAAGTTATATTTTAAACGAATTTGTAAAATTTATAAAATTTCTATAAATAATACCATTAGGGTTTCATTAATACTACAAAACGCTGTTGTAAACGGTATAGAATTGTTTTTTTGGACAAATAATAATAATTATATTTATCAATGCCTTTCTGCATTTGGAAGAGTGTTATTTTTATAAATATAACGTAAATTTACTTTACTTATAATTAATTTATTAAAAAAAATTATTTTTTTATATTGACCTTTTCTCATATATGTATACAAATATTTAAAAAAGTTACAATTCAGACACAATAAACAAATCGTAAACAATATCAAACCCCGCGCTAACATCGTTGCCTCAAAACTCACCGTTCAGCCGCTTGTCGATGTCGCGCAAGCGTTTCCACGAATCGCCCCCCAAGCACCGAATGGCGACCGCGTGCCAAGCCTTCAGCCGCAACGCCTGGTTGGAAAAATCGCTGTGGTTCGTGTTCCAAAGCACCGGATGCATCTCCACCGACTTGATCAGCATCGCGGTGTCTATCATTCCGTTCGCTATCTGGACGCCTGCCATGATTTTGCACCGAACGAACTGCTAACTTGATGTTTAATGTGTTGTTATAATGACAACGAAGCGTCTGTAAGGCGGAGACGCTGCGTTTGCTACCGCTTGCATCCGCTCGAGTTTTGGCCGACCGGTCGCGACCGCTAACGACGAAGCGATTTCTCGGCGGTCGGGTTTGAAATTTCGCGCGCTTCTGTATCCCCTTTAAATAAATATATTATTCGAATGTAAATTTAATTTAATTATTTTTGTATACTTGCTGAGTAATTTTTTGGAACGTAGCTTTTTCAGAAATGATTTTAAACTTATATATACGAGGTGTGTTCAGAAAATATCGGGAATTTCCGTTTTTTTGAAACAAATATTTATTTATTCGTCTACATTAATGTTGTCGCCTTCAAAATAGTCCCCATTGGATATTATGCACATGTGCCAGCTCTTCTTCCAATACTCGAAACACTTTTAAAACTCGATAGCCTTTAGTTCTTTCAGCGATGCGCTTTTAATGTCATCTATGCTTGCAAAACGACGGCCCTTTAAGGTTCTCTTTATTTTTGGGAATAGGAAAAAGTCAGACAGAGGCATGACTGGCGAATCATTACAGTATCGTTTTTGGACAAAAATTTTGCCACAGACAAAGTAAACAATGAAAACAGCTAAAGTTTTTATCATACTTCGGGGGCATGTATACCAACATAATAAAGAAAATTTTATGACAACCGGACCTTCCGAACCCGCGAAATTTAACAATTCCCGTTATTTTCTGAATACACCTCGTACAATCACACAATTATTGCAGGTAATGGTATTAGTACAGTATCACAATTTTACCTGTCGAAGTATAATGTAACAACAGTTGTAATAAAATAATTTTGGGTAATTTTCTACCTTATATAACAGTATGTTTTTTCAGATCACGTCATTTTTTTTAAGTGCGATCCAATAAAATGTTATCCACGGTATTCGGCACATAATATACAGATTCGATAACAGCTTTATGAAAAATTTATTCATATATTATATCACGAGAACTATGAATTTAATCGGTTAAACTAGGCTCAGTAGTTTTTTGTTTGGTTTTTGTTGGAAAATGTTGAATGCAAAATAATTTAATAAAATCACGAGACCGCGTAGCGGTCGAGGGGTTTTATTTTTAATTATTTTGCATGAAACTATTTTCCAAAAAGAAAAATCAAATAAAAAACTTACTGAGCATAGTTTGACAGATTTAATTTATAGGTTGAGTGATATAAATATTTTTTTAAAGAAAATTCCATTAATTTAAGGTATGTAATAAGTAATAATTGATATTTCGTAAACTAGATAACTTATTTTTTATTGTTTTTTAAAAAATGTTTGTTAAAACTTGTAAATAACACCATAAAATCGTAAACAAAAATTCAATATGGAGACTAAAATTTAATCGCTGTTAAATAGTTCTAGTGATTTAATCGCTTATTTAAACGAAATTTATTCGAAAATTCAAGGCTTTTGATTGGTTCATATTATAATGAGGGAAATAATCACTAAATAAATGGACAACCATTAAGATTATTTATTTATTTAAAAATTATTTTAATTATACAGGGTGGTCCAGGATTAATCTGAAAAATTTTAATGATCGATAGAGCCAGAAAAAACAATAAAAACAAACCCAAAACCATTTTTTTAAATTACACACTAACACACTAATAGCCCTTCAAAGACAAAAAAAGTTTTTTTTTAAATAACTTCTGCTCAAATTTTGTGTACCTAGGTAAAATTTCTTGCAAAAGGCCCAGCGGCGGATATTTTGTGGGGGTTTCCCCTTTTTACCCCCATATTTCGACACCACTGGATTTTATTGGAAAATCATTAGATTTCTTATTCAATTTAAAAGCAAAACTTGTGTGTTAAATTTTCATAAGATCAGTGGTTTCGGAGACTTTAAAATTTCAAAAACACCGAGTACACAGAATTTTATCATATTTTATTTTAAATCGGTAACTTGGTAACAATTATGCCACGTTATCAGTTTATAAAATATTATAAAAATAAACTAGCGTCAGTCATCGTGCAGTTGTTACTGATCCCGTCATATTTTTAGGTTGTTTTATTGTAACGTTGATTGAGGATTACAATCAACATCTGTAATTAATAATTTAATTGTATTATAATAAAAAATCAAACCAACCCAAAAACCACCATATTGAAAGTGATTATTCCATAATTTCATTGGTAAATTTTTATTGGACTGAAATATCTCCGTTGATCTGATAAAAAATAAACATAAAAGTTTTGCTTTTAGATTGAAAAAGGATAAAAAATAAATCTGATGATTTCCTAATAAAATCCAGTGGCGTCGAAAATATAAGGGTAAAAAGGGGAAACCCCTCCCAAAATCTCCGCCACTGGGCCTTTTGCAGAAAATTTTCATTATATTATCGACGGAAGCTTAACCTACACAAAGATTGAGAAGAATCGGTTTAATGGTTTAAAAATTATTTTGAAGGAAAAACAATAAAAACAAACCCAAAAACATTTTTCAAAAATGCATACTAACGGAGATAAATCCGTTAGTATGCATTTTTGAAAAATGTTTTTATTGTTTTTTCAGGCTCTATCGATCATTAAAATTTTTCAGATTAATCCTGGACCACCCTGTATACAGGGTGCACATTTACGAAATACGGGTGTTTCACGATCGTGGTCCATTGAGATTTTCTGAGGAACGGCAAAAGATATCGATTTGAAATTTTTAAAGCGTTTATAATCCAAATAAGCTTATTTTTCTAAAATATTTCAAACAAAATGCCACTTCCGGCTTGACCAAAAGTGACATCAACTTTGTTATTTTAAATGGAACAATCCATTTTTTTGCATTTTTCAATTCTACATAAAATTACTGTACCATGTCCTATACCTATAGAGTAAATAGTTTTGGCGTTATTAATTTTTTTCTGTTAAAATAAAATGGGCGTCAATCAAAAATAGCCTATAACTTTCTTGCTATTAGGTTTGCAGAAATGGGGGTGGAATTTTTGGAATACTAAAACATTGTTTAAAAGATTGCATGTCAATTTTTTAACATACCGGGTGTTACATTTAAAATAAAAAAGTTATTAACGTTTCAAGTTAGCCCAATTTGCCCTGGGTTTTCTCGGGTAATTTGTTGAAAGAATTGACATGGAATTTTTTAAACAATGTTTTAAGGTTCCAAACATTTTACCCCCATATACGGATATATCCGTAAACCTAATAGCAAACATCTAGAAAACTATTCACTTTATAAAGTATATGTATGGGACATGGTATAGTAATTTTACTCAGAATTTTATGTAGAATTTAAAAATGTAAAAATATATGGGGTGTTCTATTTGAAATAATAAAGTTGATGTCACTTCCGGTCAAATTGAAGTTGCATTTTTTTCAAAATATTTAAAAAAAATAGTCTTAATGGATTATAAACGCTTTTAAATTTCAAATCTATATTTTTTCCGTTTTCCAGAAACTTCCAATGGACCACGAATGTGAAACACCCTGTATATCAAGTGTTGTTTTTAGGTTGTGATACCACAATGTATAATCTTCAAACTAAAAGATCAAGATTTGTTTCCAACATATATTTAATATAAGATAAATACAAATCTGTTGTTTTATTAAAAAAAATAAAAAATTAAAATCAGAAATATATTTTTTACTTAAAAAAATTAAGTTAAGTATAATTTTTGTATTATGTAAAAACATATAATATTTCAAGAAAAAAAATGATTTATAACAACGATGTGGCTCCCGTCCCGAGGCGGGACTTAAGTTCAGTCCCGATTGACGTCACACACTGTAAATCCGTTTTTATTCCCCGAGATTTTATAATTTGTGTCAAGCTCGATGGCTTAGATGGTAGGGCGGTCGCTTGGCATGCGAGAGGTACCGGGTTCGATCCCACTGGAAGTTGTCAAACTTTTTTTATTTTTTTTATTTTATAAATTTGTTGTTTCTTTGTTAAAAAGTGTTTTATTTTTATCGTAACATAAATTTGCCCATTTTAGTTGGGTTTTTTGCTCAATGGGGCGGGGGGGGGGCCCAATGGGGCGGGGTCGGTTGGGTTGTGTTGTTGAGTTTGGGTTGGTTTGGTTGTATGACGTAACTAAAGTGCCCTTAACATGTATACAGGTACAATTTATTATTATTATTTTATTATAACATAACAAATCTTAAAATTATGACGTTAATCGGGACTGAACTTAAGTCCCGCCTCGGGACGGGAGCCACAGCGTTATAACAAACTAGAGAATTAAAAATCTGTTTATTTTAAAATATTAAAAATGGCTTTGTAAAAAAATTAAATGACGTGATTTCGTGAAACGGTGAGATACGGGTACGTTTTTTAACCTTTATTTTTTAAATCTGTTAAAATTTTTCATGGGAGGAAAATCGTGTTGTACTGTGTAATATTATAATAAATTTAACAGAGGGGAATTATTTATTTCCATTTGATCATCGAAGATAATATCAAATTTTTTTTAATTTATTAATTTCTTTAATAAAAGATTTTTTATCTTCATTAATTCTGGTTTTAAAATTCCGGTCAGTTTTACATTTAAAACTGACTATGCATAGATACAAAACAAACACTGTTTTTTTAGTTTCACAAATTTATTTTTATTTAATTCGACAATTGTTTCGCTAACACAGTAGCTTCTTCAGAAATGATTTCAAACTTATATACAATCACACAATTATTGCAGGTAATGGTATTAGTACAGTATGACAATTTTACCTGTCGAAGTATAATGTAATAAAATAATTTTGAGTAATTTTATACCTTATATAATATTATAATAAATTTAACAGAGGGGAATTATTTATTTTATATTTGATCATTAAGGATAATATCAGATTTTTTTAATTTATTAATTTCTTTAGATCTACGACACTTCTCAGCGAGTGTCATTTTCACGACACATGTATTTTAACCTTATGAGAATCAGTCAGTCTTTGTACTTTAAACAAGCAGTTTGTTAACAATGGAAATCAATAAATAATTATTATAATATTATAATAATTATAATTTGTGAAATGTTTTTTATTAATTTTTTTATTGTTGTTTAAAATACAAACCAAATCTTTTTCTAACTAAAAAACTTTTCCATTGCTGGGAACTTAAACTTTCCAATTTCATATCCATTTATTATGGCTAATGCCTCCCAGGGCCGCAACTGC